GAGACTTATGCCTCTTCATTTCCAAGCTCCAGTGAGGTAGGTCGTGTTCTGTCTGCGGCCTTCCCCCCCCACCCCCCTCACCAGACGTTTACCTCATCGCATACGTTTTTGTCCAATTTGTATGTTCAGCGTCCAGCAGGCACCGTGACCCCATCTTCAACCACCTCTACGTCCGAAGGGACCTCACCAAGACAAAGCATTCCAAGTCCTCGAGCAAGTCCTCCATCAGCACCCGGCACCGTCGAGAGATCGGTTTCGGTAAGCAATACGAAAATGAGCAGGATTCAACGACTCGTGGTCACGAACGGCTTTCTAACTAGGAGTCACTCCGGGTAAAGTGTCCTTTAAGTGCATTTTATTACATTTTACAGCCTGATCTGTTCGATGACGAGGAAACCTCCATCACCGTGCCAGAAATAGTACCTGATCTGTTCGATGACGAGGAAACCTCCATCACCGTGCCAGGAATAGTAGCTGTTCCACACAGCAAGGTGCCGGAACAAACCAAGGCCAAGGTGGCGATGCACCACCTGGTTTACATTGGATCAGGGATGGGAAAAATTTAACTAAACTAGTTTCTGTAACTGTAACTAGTTACAATTTGCAGCAACTGAAACTGTAACTAGTTTCATTTTCAAACTAAATAACTGTAGCTGTAACTAGTTACATTTTTTTCTGTAACTGTAACTAATATCAGTTACAGTTATTTTTGCCCAGTAGAACTTTTAAAAAGTATGATATTTCTTTCCTGTTGATCCACATTCTGTTGCAATGTGCTATCTGGAGTCTGCGGCTAGCGCGGCATTCAGAGGAATGAAGGAAAAGGAGCTGGAAAGACGGTATAGAGATGTTCCAATGCTGACGTCACAAGGCCCACTGAGTGGCGAACCGCGCGAGATTCCAAATGCGGGCCCGGGGAAAATGTTGAAAAGGTCGAAATAAAATGTTAGATCGTAGGGCCCAGTTAAAGAGAGATATGGCGACAACATTTTCTGAATCATTAAATTGGATCCATATGCTTTTTTAACTGGTTTCAGCAAAGAATGGTCTAACCTAACCTCTGACACCGTGTGTCATTGTTCGGTAC